ATAGAAAGAATGAAATAGTATTAAAAGAATAAGACAAAGAAACTGAACGAAAACTAAAATTAAAGAATGAAAGAAAGAAAAGGAAAGAGTCAAAACAAACAAATGAAGGAAGGAAAGGAAATTAAATTTAGAAAGAACGAAAAGTAAAAAGGAAAAAGAAATAAAAAAAGAAAGAGTGAGAATACAGTGAAAGAGAAACAAAGTAACCAAATAATGAAAGAAATTATGGAAGAAAAAGAAAAGAAAAAAAAGGAAAAGACGAAGAAACATAGGATAAGAAAAATAAATGAATGAGTGAATAAAGTAAATGAAAAAAAAAAGAAAGAGAACGAAAGATAGACAAAGCAAAATGGCGAATGTAAGAAAGCAAATCGAGAGAAGAAAAACGAAGAAAGGAAGAAAGAAGAATATGAAAAAAAGAAAACGAAGAAAGTAAAGAAGAAAAGGAAGGAAAAATAAGAAAAGTAGAACATACGGATGAAGGAAAGAAGAAAGTGTGGAAGGAAGTTGTAAGGAAGGAGAAAAGAAGAAATTAGGGAATGAAGAAGAGGAAAGAAAAGAGGAAGACTGGGGAAGGATGGAAGATAAAAATCATATGACAAAAGGAAATAAATGTTGTTTAAAAAGAAGGAAATCATACTTATTATAAAACCCAGGTTGTGTGTGTGTGTGTGTGTCTGTACGTTTATATATCGGATCGGATTTCCTACATTTTTCAACCGATTTCGACAAAACTTCACAGGACTGCGTAAAATTACCTTGCGGTGGTTCTGACAGCACCAAAAATTGGAAAAACACAATTGTTTTTGCACGAAATCAATTTGAAAACACGATTTAGAGGCAAAAATGAAAGGGGAACAACTCATATCGAGTTATACTTATTATAAAACCCAGGTTGTTGTGTGTGTGTGTATGTGTGTGTTCGTTTATATATGGGATCGGATTTCCTACATTTTTCAACCGATTTCAACAAAACTTCACTTTTTTTTGGCAGGTAGTGTTTCTTATTGTCTTGCACACTTTTTTTCTTTATTTTTACATTCAGAATGCTTTAAAAATTCCATTTACAAGACAAATGTTTATAATAAAATTCTATTCAATCGATAGACTCATAACGATTGAAAACAATGTTTTTGTTTGAGTTTGACCAATTCGTAAAAAAAAAAAAAAACTAATTAAGACATGCGTGTCCGTCAACCTTAAACAATAATCTTTGTCAATTTTATTTTTCAGTCTTTATGATGGTCGATACTTGATCTATCTCTTACTGTTACATTCCCGGGCAACGCCGGGCTCTCCTGCTAGTAATGAATAAATGTTAAAAAGAAGGAGAAAATAAAGAAGCAAAGAAACAGACGAATGAAAGGAAGAAAGAAAAAAAAAACAACAGAGACAATCGAAATTAAATTACAAGAAAGGACAAAAACTAATCGCTGACTACAGATTAAAACATATGCGTTCTTTGACGTGGTGCTCCATACTTTCGGCCTTGTGCCACGTCTAAGCAACGCTTAGAAAAACACCAAAATCACAACCTGAAACGAAAGCGAATAGCAACGCGAATTGAGAAAAGACAAAGGACCGGGCCAGACAGACGTTATTGATTTAGAAGAGGGACAGTGAGATAGAAAGTGAGGGTCAGGCTCGGGGTCACCATTGGCCCTGGCGGACGTTGATGAGCTGTGAAAAGGAGAAAGAGGAGACGGGGGAAGCCAAAGTGACCAGAAAAGATAGGCGGCTACGGTGTGTGTCTGTGTGAGTGATTGTGTTTTTTGCTTGTTTTTTGTTGTTGTTGTTTTTTTTGTATTTGTGCGTGTGTGAGTGAGAAAGCGAGACAGAAAGAGATATCAAGAGACATAAAGAGAGAGAGAGAGAGAGAGAGAGAGAGAGAGAGAAATGCAGAAGATAAACGCAGAGAGAGAAAAGAAAAAAGATAGAAAAAAAAAGAAAAAGAGAGACACGTACAGGTGGAGAATGATAGACACAAAGAATAAGAGAGATACAGAAAGAAAGGCAGAGAGAGGAATATAGAAAGAAAAAAAAAGAAAAGAAATATATATATATATATATATATATATATATATATATATATATATATATATTTATGAAGAGAAAAATTCACAGAGCGATAAAAAGATATCGAATATAACAAAATAAATTAAGAATGACAATATGATTTCATTTCGATGTATATATATATATATATATATATATATATATATATATATATATATATATATATATATATTCTTCCTATTTTCAGTATATATATATATATATATATATATATATATAGAGAGAGAGAGAGAGAGAGAGAGAGAGTTACATATAAAGAAAAAGCAAGATAGAGAATGTGATTGAGAGATAGAAAGATAGAGAGAGAGAGAGAGAGAGAGCAAAACATATACTAGGAGACATGTATATATATATATATATATAGAGAGAGAGAGAGAGAGGTAGAGAGAGAGAGTGAGTGAGAGATAGAGAGATAGAAGGAGAGAGGGGGAGAGAGTGATGGAGAGAGAGAAAGAGAACGAATGCATACGCTGAGATGGAGAAAAATATATAGGGAGAGAGAAAGAAAGATACGCAGATACAGAGCAAGAATAAAGAGAAACACTCAGAAAAAGAGAGACAGAGAGAGAAAGCGAAACAGAAAGAGACAGGTAGATAGATAGATAGATAGAGAGAGAGAGAGAGAGAGATAGGACGGACAGGTACGTCGAGAAGGAGAAAAATATATAGGGAGAGAGAAATATAGATATGCAGATACAGAGAAAGAATAAAGAGAAACACGCAGAAAAAGAGAGGCAGAGAGAGAAAGCGAAAGAGAGAGAGAGAGAGAGAGAGAGAAAGAAAGAAAGAAAGAAAGAAAATAAAGAAAAAGAGAGACAGACAGTTAACATTTATTGTTGTATTGAGAGTGGGTCATTGTGACCGCGCACAAAATTTCGAACGAAATTATTTGAGAATACAAACTCAATTGTTGTAGTAAGCGCCGATGTTGCTGCTTCGCTGCTGCGGTTGCTGCTACTATCACTTATTATCTGCCTCTCCACCCCTCTCTCTCCCCCTCTCTATTTCTGTATGTCTCATTTACTCCCTCCCCTCCCCTCCTCTCTCTCTCTTATTCTTCGTTTCTCGCTCTCGTCCTTTTCCTTCTCACCTGTCGTTCTGTATCCATCCTTTTATTCTTTCAACGTTTCATGTCGCCACGTTACGTCTCTCTTCCTGGAGAGTGATTGTGGCTACGGTACCCTTGACTTCATGATGTCCGGGCTACATCCATTTCACTGACACTGTTTTGCATACCTAGACTCGCTAAAAGACACCTACACGCCTGAAAAAAATAAAATATCTATCTATCTGCTTGTTGCTGATCACATCTGATCATCTGTGTCATCTCATTTCCTCCCCACCTCTCTCTCTCTCCCCCTCTCTATATATAGTATATATATATATATTAGCAGTGTGAGATAGACAAGAAGTAAGACATGTAGCAACATCAGCACGGCAAAGGGCACTCCTTTAAAGGCAAGGAAGGGCAAAAATATTTTAAGTCAAGTGATAGCGATTGCTGTATGAGTCGTACGATTTTTGAATCAAGCACGGGTAACGCCGGACCATTCTGCTAGTATATATATATATATATATATATATATATATATATATATATATATATATATATAAACTTGAAACTTGACTAATGCATGGAATAATAATACAACACAAAATGTACTTAGAACAAAATGTATTGAAACCAGAAAGTGTACACACTATTTACATATAGTCTTTTGTATATTCCTGGAGAATGTGTTGACTTAGTCGCAGTCGGGCAGAGTCTCTGGATTGAATCTCTTGATTCCTTCTCTCGTCTTCCCGGTACCAACCATATTTATATGGTCGGTACTCCACTATGCAAATTAGGTGGATCCTACCACAACATATATATATATATATATATATATATATATGAAAAAATTATATACTGTGACAGATATATAAAAAGTTGAGTTATTAGATAATGACAGGCTGAAAGAGATAGGGATAACAAGAGGGAGAGAGAGAGAGAGAGAGAGATTTCTTTGCAAAATAGAATCCTTACATTTGACTAGATAAAGTTCATCAGAGAACGAAAAGCGTCTGCTAAGTTAAGTTTTGTCTTTCTTCATTTGAAAATTATTTTCCGTTGAGCACTATGGGAAGAAAGCGCGAATTTGTAAATAGTGACTACTACTGCTGCTAATGCAAGATTCTTCTATTGAATTCAGTCATCTCGGTCACTGGTGTGTTTGTTTAAATAATAAATACGCTAAAATTCACCCTTTTCCTCTGCCGTGCGCCGATAGCAGGATAGATTCTCCGACAGATGACAAATCAGCCGGGTTTCGATCCCGAATTAAGGCAATCGGATGTCTAGTCACACTGGTGAGCTGTGATACAGCGAAAGAAACAGTCTGTCTGTGGATGACATTATATATATATATATATATATATATATATATATATATATATATATATATAGAGAGAGAGAGAGAGAGAGAGAGAGAGAGGAGGAGAGAGAGAGAAATTGTTTTGGATAGTGGATGTTATGGATTTTATAAGTAGTAATATGTATCTGTTATTTAACTAGTTGTTGTTATTAAGGTTGTTATCTTTTTGCGATATATTTTGTCTGACTTTCTTTTGGCGTCGTGGATGAAGTGATAAGGATATTGGAGGTTTTTGAAAGCATTTTCTATGTATACTTTTTTGGGTAAGTATTGTGGGCTGCATATTCTTAATGCTCTTATATACAGAAAACACTTTCAAAAACATGCAATATCCTTATTATTTCATCCACAATGTTTAAAGAAAGGCATACAAAATTTACAACCGCAAAAATGATAACAACGTTAATAACAACAATAAACCTGATGAAAACAGACACATAATACTACCTATTAACTCCACTATCTAAAACAATCTATCCAATCTGAACAACATGAAAATAATTACAA